CTGGTACCCAACCTACTGCCACAGGAGTGCTTTGTAACATGCAGGCCGTATTTCCCCTGGCCAGCTAAGGGCTGCTGGCCCCCACCATGCCACCATTGCTGGCTGGAGGCAAGCGCTTTTTCCCAGTGGGAACAGAGAGAAAAGGGCTGCCAGATGAAAATGCTTTTCCCCCGTGGCAGGAGCACCTCCACTGGTCACCTGGGGACCTGCGCCGAGCTCCCCGCCTCCACCTATCCGGCTCCTATCTCCTGCACCCTCTGCTCACCGGGATTGTAATTGCCTCTCATCCCCCGAGGGGTTATTTTGAGTAGGTGGTGGGGAGGGAAATTTCCCTGTGCCTCCTTGTGCCTCCCTGCGCCCCAATGAGACCCAAGCCCTCCTTGGACACTTTTCACCGTGTTCTGTTGGGGGTTTGGGGGGCGGGGGGCGAGGGCTTGAAAGGCAGCAGCTAAAAGTTGGGGCTTAAAAGGCAGCAGTTAGAAAAGGAAGCTCCAAAAATTAGAAGGATTTGAAGGAATGAATCAGTCACAGCTGGTAGAGGTAGCCCAGAAAGTCTTTAACAATAGGGACACCACAGAGGAGAAATAGGGCTTAAGGAAAGAAAAGGCCGGCAGCAAACTAGGAAGGAATTAGTATGCCTATTGTAGGAAGTGGGGGCACAGGAAGATAAATAGGACCCCCAAGTTAGTTTCCTGGTGTGTTCTGGAGCAGCCTATTCAGTCTTGACAGAGCCAACGGGACCCGTAACATCTAAGAAGACATCGGTCCAAGGAGCCACTGGACAAACTGCCTTTTTCCTTGGACATCAAAGAGGACTGTGGACCTTGGAAAGAACATGGTAACGCATTCCTTGCTGGTCATGCCAGTTTGCCCGTACCCCTTTCTTGGACATGATCTCTTGCAGAAACTACAAGCCACCATATCCTTTGAGGGGGACGGAGCACACTTCACTGTGGATCCAAGGAACCCAGGCCCGGACCCATTCTCCCCTGGCCGCATTCTTCTAACCTGTCCTCTCTCAGATAAATATCTCTTGCAGGAAAGGGCCAATGTGACTCTGCTTACTTGGGGAAATTACAACGCCTCTTTCCCATGGTTTGCGCACAAAACAACCCCTCCGGGGTTAGCGAGTCATCAAGCACCTGTAGTAGTCCAATTGCAAGCCACCGCCACTCCAGCTCAGGTTCGGGAATTCTTAGGGGCAGTTGGATACTGCTGCCTGTGGATACTGGGGTTCTCGGAGATTGCTGAACTTCTGTGCTCAACTGCTGGGGAGGCGCAGCCGTTAAACTGGACCGAAGTGGAGCAACGGGCCTTTGAGGAGTTAAAGAAGGCTCTCGTCTCAGCACCTGCCCTAGCCTTGCCAGACGTCAGGAAGCCCTTCCACCTCTACCTGAGTGAGGTAAGGGGCATTGCCAAAGGGGTTCTCACCCAGACTCTAGGTCCCTGGAAGAGACCTGTGGCCTATCTGTCTAAGAGACTAGACCCTGTGGCTGCAGGGTGGCCAGCATGCCTCCAGGCAGTGGCCACCACAGCATTGCTGGTAAAGGAGGCAGATAAGCTGACTTTGGGCCAGGAACTAGCCCTGACAACACCCCATGCTGTGGAAGCCCTCCTTTGAGATGCTCTGAAGAGATGGATGTCAAACACCAGGGTGACCCAGTACCAAGTTCTTCTCCTGGACCAGCCCCGCATCTGATTCCATAAGACACTGGCCATCAACCCTGCCAGCCTGCTCCCAGATGATGATCCAGAGGAGCCATCCACGACTGCATAGAGGTAACAGACGCAGCTCGCCCAGACTTGACAGATGTCCTGCTATCATCACCAGACAAGGTACTGTTATGTACAAAATGGGAGCAGTTATGTTCAGGATGAAATCTGGTATGCAGTAGGAGGTGGTAGTTACCCTAGACTGCTCAAGGAAACTGAGTTGCAGACCAAGCTGCCAAGGAAGCCGCCCAAAAACCAGTGGGGCCTTTACAAGAGGAGGAATTGGCAGAACAGAAGCAAGCTACCAGAGGACCAAATGGTTGATGGACTCTACCAGATGGCAGACTGTTGGTCCCAGAGGCTCTAGGTCAGACTTTAGTTGCCCAGTTACACCAGGCTACCCACATAGGTGTCACCAAGACTTCTGAACTTTTGTGAGGCAGGTCACAGGTAAATGCTAAGCAAGGTAAGAGGGTCCCCCTAGGAATTTAGGCCTGGGGGAACTCCCCAGGAGAGCATTGGGAGGTGGATTTCACAGAGATTAAGCCACTGACATCAGTGTATAAGTACCTGCTAGTTTTTATAGACTCTTTCTCGGGATGGGTTTAAGCCTATGCCACCAGGACAGAAACTGCCTATACCTAGATTTGGGCTATCAGCAGTTATAGGATCAGATAACAGCCCCGACTTTGTAGCCAAGGTATCTCAAAGTACAGCTAAGGTCTTAGGCATAAATTGGAAACTCCATTGTGCATACCGGCCACAGATTCAAGGCAGGTATGAACAGGACTCTAAAAGGATTTTAACTAAATTTATCCCAGAAACCGGTGAAAACTGGACCAACCTCCTGCCCTTTGCCTACTTACAGGCCAGGTGTACCCCCAACCGGGAGGGGTTCTCTCCTTTTGAAATCATGTTTGGTAAATCTCCCCCTATCCTACCCAAAGTTAGGGGAGGAATTAAAAGTTAAAAGTCGTAACCATTCCTTGCTCAAGTCCTTGCAGGCTCTGCAGTATACCCAGAGAGCCACCCATAAGCTTGTTCGAGATGCCCTGCCAGTGCCACCTCGGACACTGTACATCCTTTCCAGCCTGGGGACTCGGTGTGGGTAAAGAAGTTCACAACCCAAGGACTCACCCCAACTTGGAAAGGACTATACACTGTCTCCCTGTTGACGGCATCCAGACCTGGCTACACCACTCCCAGCTCCTGCACCAGACGGCCTTGATCCCGGCAGCCAGCGGTCACACCCGTGAGATCCCTAGCCTGGGCTCCACGCAGGCCAGGAGGAGGCTCGACGCCCACAGGAGGGAAACTGGACTTCAGTGAGGACAGTACTGACTGGGACCGTGGCACTAGGGCACTTGGTAACTGTAAGAACATTTTTTCCTAGCCAGTGAGAAAGTCCAGGGCCAAGTGGGGCTATATGTGCTAGGGAACAGAAGAGCAGGAACAGAATAGAGAATGCCCCTAAAAGAACTGGGGTGAGTAAATGAAAATTAAATGTGCCAAGCTGGCAGTTTAGAAAAATTAATTCAATCAAACTACTTGTAGTTAGGGGGCAGTACAATCCCCTAACTAATGAAGATGAGTCCATGATTTGACTCATGTACATAAAACCAGTGGGGAATGAAGTATGGTACCTATTTGCTTTGTTTAACAATGGACAGGTTACTTTGATTTTCTAAATTGTATAAGTCATCCCATTCGATTGAATGCCTTATTGATTGAATGACTATCCCATTGATTGTGATCTTACTGGTTATCGAAGCACATTCTTCTGTACCTGGGAAACAGGACAGCACAATTACCCTAAATTGTTTTAGTGGCCACAGGTGGTGCATTCCAGTTGACTCAGTGGTCCTAAGACCAGGACAGTGCAATTACTCTAAATTGCCTCGATGGCTCTAGATAATGTGTTTCTATCAACTCAGTGATCTGGAGACCCAGAACTGTAATTTAGATAACATGCCTAAGTTTAACCCAGGTTACCCAAAGGCTCTAGATAATGTATTTCTGTCAATTCAGTGACCCCGAGACCCGAAACTGTAATTAACATGCTTAATTCTGCTTCTGTAATCTGCTTTTTTGCGAGCCAGGTGCCTCATTCCAAACCCTGGGATGTAATCAATACCTTTGTGATTTTTGCCTATATAAGTCTGGTTTTGCCACCATCTTATTACTATGAGATTTGGGAATGTCCCCTCATAGTCCCGGATTGCAATAAATATGACTCTTTAATTCGACTTCTTGAGGCGTCCTTCTGTGATTCGCGGGGTACATTACAACAATACAAAAGACAAATACTGTATG